TTATTATGATTAATGATTTATTATGAAGACCTATTATTATAAATATTTATTATAAATACCTATTTGCAATGGTCAGAATTCATGAGAGAATTCCATTTTAATTCCAACTTTAGCCAACAAATTTTTCAGCAAACAAAAAAATCATAAAAATATCATTCACCCCTGCTCGCTATCTCGTTATTAGCCCACACCTGTTACCATAGTTACGTATTTCCACTTAACCGTCACCCAAAAATAATAATTCGAAGATATTGTTGTGCAATTAAATGGCAATGATGTTATATATATCCATGTTATATTAATATTCTGCCACACCTGTTATGCATTTCTATATTTAATCATTGGCTTCTGGCAATAATTAATTATCCGAAGCACTCGCTGTCTAAGTAAAATCATGACAATGATGTATGTAGCAGTGATCTTTTTAAAACACAAGGCAAGGAACACACAAACCAATACACACACACCAGCAAGTGGATTTTACAATTGAGTGTTTGTAATCAATCATTCGGTTTACAGTTGAATATACTGATCTTAACTCGTTTCTGATCTTCCTTCTAGGAACACGCGGCTGATACACGAAACTTCGTCAACGTCGAAGTTTTCTCTACGATCGTGGCGCCCCGTGCGACCTTCACCGACAACAGCGACGACATTTCTACCATAATACCACGCGATGTAAAAAAATTGTTTACTGTACGCTTAGTCTCATCTACTACTACGTATCAGTGTGAGCACCAACCTCAGTCTCATCTACTACCTCTGTCTCATTCACTACCTCTCAGTCTCATCTACTACCTGTCTAATCTACTACAACTCCGTCTAATCTACTACCTCTCAGTCTAAGCTACTACCTCTCAGTCTAATCTACTACTTCTCAGTCTAATCTACTATCTCTCAGTCTAACCTACTACCTCTCAGTCTAATCTACCACTCTCTACTCCCTCCCTCGCACTCGACCCTCTACATCTCTCTGCCCTCTCTGCCCTCTACATCTCTCTACCTCTCTCTACCTCTCTCTGCCCTCTACATCTCTCTACCTCTCTCTCTGCCCTCTACATCTCTCTACCTCTCTCTGCTCTCTACATCTCTCTATCTCTATCTACTCTCTAACTCTCTCTGCTCTCTACATCTCGCTAACTCTCTCTGCTCTCTACATCTCGCTAACTCTCTCTGCTTTCTACATCTCTCTATCTCTTGCTGCCCTCTCTCTTTATAGCATTCATTATTTGCATGTTAACTCTCTCTATCTAACCTATCCCGCCACTCTCTCTCTCTCTCACTCTAGCGCGTGCTCTCCCAGACTCATACACACTTTCATGCACACTACCACTCTCCCTCGTTCTCTCTCTCGTGCACGGATTCTCTCCCCCTGTGTTGTACTCACTCTTGCTCACCTAAGCTAAGCTAACCTATGCTTGCCTATTGCAATCTCTCCCCCTAACATAACTCTTCCCTCCCCCTCCTCCCATCCCGACCTTTGACTGGACCCTCCTTCCCCCTCCCCTGTGCCCACTCCACCCCGTCCACCTCCCCCTTCACTACTCCCTCTTACACTCACGATCATGCTTCCGTTCACGCTCGCAGTCGTTCACCTGGAAAAGCTCCTAGAAACACTACTCTACATTCACACACATTTCCAAATAAAATACAAAACAAATTTCCATGAAACGAATCAACTTGCTTCCAAATCTACTACCATATGGTCACTAGTGAATCACTTCACTAATAGCCAACAACTGCCATCTAGTGGCGAGGTTTGCTGCAAATTACAACTTAACAATTTATGTGACGTTATTTTTGCTGCAAATTGCATACTTATGACAGAATAGTGGAATCTGAAGCGAGTCAATTGGCTAAATGCTTAATGCTAATGCAATGCTAAATGCTTTGGACAAATTGTTTAAATGCTAGTCAAGTGAGAAATTCTTCCCTGTAGGTTAATAAGTTCAATAGTGAGTTTCGAAGAAGTTTTGAATTATAAAAACGATTTGGAAGTTAGTAAATTGATTGATGACATGTAAATAAATTTAATAAGCCAATTTCGCATTTTGGAGAGCATTGCATTGGGGCATGTTTCGGTTATTGCATCAGAAAAAAGTCATCTCTGCCAATGTTGTACTTTTCTACTAATATCATTTTTGGTAGCAAATTGTAGTACAAGTTCTAGCTAATCTTTAAAAATACTACTTTTAAGAATAGACATGTCTCCAACAAATTTAATATAATGGAATTGTGACCTAAACATAGGCTAAGTTACGTAATAAACAGCAAGCCCTAACCTTTAGGGTACCCCAATCATATGCTGAAAATATACTGGACAAAGAAGCTAAATGACCTTTGAAGCCAAATTACTCTACGTATCGTAGCCAAATCACAGCTAATCTTCTTAGCAAGTGCCCTGAAACTTACTTGTAGCTAATTACATTTAATTGCAATGAGACCGGAGTTAGAATTTTGTAAAAGCATATTTATTTTATGATTGTCGAACGCTAGGACTTGGGAGCGAATTTATGTTAAGGAGCATGTGCAGTCTAAATGCGAAATTGGCTTATCGTCATTGATCAATCAGCAGACATTGATATATTTGCATCCACAATTACATGAAAATGGTACATTAAAATCGTCTACTTGCTGCCACTATCACTGCCACGAAAAACAAATTTCCTATCTTTGTCATTAAAAAGTCTAGTCAAATACTTCGAACATTGAACTGCTGACTTCTAAAAACGAACTCGATGAAAAACTACTCTGGATTCGATTAACAACATACAGATGGTAACAATTAAGGCAGTTTCACGTTAACATAGTGCATCGTCGCAATAATTAACAGTCCTGGCTTCAACGATTTCATACACTCACGCCTCCCGTCAGCTTGATGATGTGTCTATGTCTTCGCAAATGTCCTTTTACACGATGGGGTGGCTTGTGTGGGCGTATGCTGATCCGTGGCAGTGTTACGCAGCTTGTCAACAGAAGTGAGTCTGAAGTCCTGGATCCTTGCTCTGTAACAATAGTGAAGACCACACTGCAATGATTAAGTATAAGATTATTAATGTATAAGTTTAAGTGATTAAGGTAATGAACAAGTATATATATATACCCATCCTCTATCTCTCACTCTCTCACACAACAGGCTGCTCCTTACACTGATACATGCCCATGCCCACAACACACACTCTTCCCTAGGACACGTACAAAAATACTCACTGTAGAGTAGTGCTAGTCTCGACGATTAGCATCCATCGTGTTTGATTAGATGAAAAGACACCTTGGTCTAATCCCAGCCTCATGAGCCATCGACTTGGCATCAAATATCCCTCTTCTCTCTGAAAACAAATAAATTCAAAGTCAAAGCACACATAAAAATTTGGTTAAAAATAGACAAAAATTGGTTAGTTCAGTTTGGCCAACCTGATAACTGCTTATGTTAATCACTCAATTTCATACAAACATGTTCACAAAATATATTACCTGCAATTTTTAACATGTTTGAATTGATAGTAACAATTTTGTTAGGGCTGTAACATCCAGAAAACAGGTCATCATACCTATCATAGCTTCCTCTTCTCCTCCTCTTCTTCTTCTTGTTCATCTTCTTCTTCACTATTTTTCGTCGTCTTCTTCTTCCCCTTTCCCTAGTTGAGTTATATGCAACGCTATGTCCAATCATTTGTATGCTTTCACTATATTAGACATCTTCACCGTAACCCTGGCATGGGAGGCTGAACAGGTGTTATGCTTTGCCTAAGGGCAACCTGTAGCTAGGGCCGCAGAGGAAGCTTATCTCCTCACTAGTGACTTATGAAAGTCACTCCCTTCTCCAAGCGAACTGGAATAAAGTGCCTTGCTCATGGGCACAAGAGCAGTGATCAAGGTGGCACTCAGGCCCCAGACCTTTCAGCCTGAAGTCCTGAGCAACAACCACTTGACCACTGCTCCTCCCACCAGTGTCAGCCATCCAAGCGACTCTAGCATGGCTATGACACTCTGTCTCCAAAAGTAGATGTTGGTATGAAGTTTGCAGCTCATCACTGGATCATCTCTTTGCTGTCTTTGGTCTTTGTTGATGGATATCAGATGGAGGAAAGTATACATTCCGTGCTTGGTCAAACTAACAGGGAAACTTGTAGCTTGGGTGGAAGAGGAAGCTTACCTTCCCACTATGTACTTATGAAAGTCTCTCCCCTTTCATAATATATATATATATATCATATAATAGAATTGGGAATCAACTTGGCTGAGTGGTTTCGTCTGTGGGATAGCTAGGCAATCATGAGTTATGGCGAGTCATGAGGTTGCATGCAACTGGCATTTTTACTAGCAGTACTCTGTGTGCTCTTTAGATGCTCTGGGTGCTCCTTAGACTCTATGGGTGCTCCTTGACTGGTGATGGCATTTAGCATGGTGAGGTTCCTACTCCATAGCTGGTTTAAGGTGATGCTTCAATCCGTGAGTCGATAGATAGATCTGTCTTTACATGATGTCAGCTGGACAATGGTATGCGTTGCCTTCTGATAAGTGTAGATGCTCGAGTAGTGCTTCTACCCTGAAAAAAACGTCCATCAGTACCAATTCCAAAAGTAACAAACAAACGTACAGTTACAAGAGGTCTTAACAATATTAAGTCTTCTATGTGAGTTAAATTAATATTTATAATTATTGTTACTTTGTTCCAAAAATATACTAACTCATGAACCATGAAAAACAAAAAAAAACAAAGACAACCTGATCTTTCTATTCATCCTTTGATATCAGTCAGACAAGCTCACTTGAGATGGCTGTGGATGGCATATGAAGACATTCCAACAGCAACTGTAAATATTAAAAATTATTAAAGCTATATTTGTGAGATTCTTGCTCAGAAACACTCAATCCGAATAAAATACAGCGAAATATTGTCTCACCTCACGGCGGATATATCACTGATTACACTAACTTGAAAAACACTAAGACTTTATGTTAAGGGATTCAGTGGAGGAGTGGTGATTGTCTAGGGGGAGGGGGTGATTGTCCGGGGGGTAATTGTCTTCTATATCGACCACTGTTTAGACAATTCTACATGACCTTCCCTACTCGCGGAGCACAGTAGAGTGAAAAAGAATGTATAATACTTAGTGGTTATTTTATCATTTATGTTAGTATATTATAAGATGCATGGTTCAGGAAATGGAGAAAATTTCACAAACCAGGTTAACTGCATGGTACCTTGAGAAATTAATTTTAAAAGAATCATTTTAAACGTAATTTAATTAGTTTTCAAATCATAATTTGCTATTCTATGCATGATACCTACAGGCATTACAGCTGTTGAGTGAAAGTATGACAGTATAGAAATCTCTGCATCATACTTCACCCAGCTCATTGTAGGCAGATGAATTCTCCAGATGTCTCCAAAAATCTGTGCTCCGTCATAGCCTCCCGTCATGTTGTACACATCTGAAATTAAACGAGATCGAGCCCATTAGATGTGTGCGTGATGAGACGGATATACCACATGGATTGTTGTTTTACTACAGTTTCATGCATTTTTTTGCAACATGTAAAACTTAAACTCTCGCGTACTTACCATCTTTCACCTTCACACAGCTGTGACATCGCCTTGCCTGTGGGAAACTTGGATGTGAGACAAAATTAAATGACAGTCAAATGTTCCTGGGAAAGAACGCTGCTATACTATACAATGGTCTCTGAATCTAGGAATGAGATCTGAACCGGATTATTAGGCCATCTTTAAAAAATTATTTGTTTGCTGTCCTCCGACCGACCCACGAAAATAGCCGCGATGCCAAAAGTTTTTTTTTTCATTTTGGGTTCCTTTTTTTTTTTTAAACATTTTTCATAGTTAAGACTAAAACACAAAGCATGTGTGGCAAACATGAGGACAGACTTAAAATAACTATTATGCCTCACAAAAAAACCTACCTCCTACCCACTAAAAAAATCGTGGGTCGGGGGACAGCAAACATAGAATTTTTTAAGGATGGCCTTAGCTCTTGGTAATATGAACTGAGGTACGATGTGAAAGATTGCGCGCCTGCTATCTTCCGATTCGCGATTGATAATGGAATGTTCAAACGGTCCCACAAAACAAATGCACGTAGTTACATAATGCAAATATTTATAAAGTGATACCTATCTCGATATGTATACAAAGGTAACTAACCTAGCTAGTGAAAAGACAGCGTTCTGGTCTCGTGAGAGCAAAAATCACGCACTAGGTTTGTCGACATCTGTAAACAATCTAATTTTAAATGCAGATCGGTACACATATTGGTAGAAAGAATGTTTTGCAGGTGGTCTATGACATGTTAGCCTTACTATATACACTTGGTGTTATGGAAGGAGTACAGGTAAGTATCAGAACAATTGAGAAAATAAGAAAACGGTCGGTAAAAACATGAGAAATCCTCGCTTTAAAATAGAGGCTAGCACATCTACCACCAGCCACTCACTTAACCCCACCTGGCCCCTCCGCCGGCCGCTGCCTGCCGTTTCACCTATCCTCACCCACTCAACCAGTGATATGCCGCAAAAACTACAAAGCGTTTCGAAGCCATTCACCACAAGTACCTTGCCACCGCCGAACATGTATATCTTCGTCTCGTCAGCCACAATCTCATGACGATATCTAAAATTAGAGCAGAGTAGAGAGAACATCAGACACCTGTAACCTTCTCTTACGATTCCGTGAAGAGAAACATCTGTGTTAATGTAAGATAATCATTACTCGACTCATAATATTTGATCAGCATAGCACGTCAAGGATAGGCAGTGTCCTGATGTACATATTAGGAATTTAGGATGTTTATGAGTGTGCAGTTGTCACAAAAAGGTAGTGCCAATTATATAAATTGTGACAATGTGACAACAACCACTAAGAAAATATATTATAAATGTGTATTCTACATACCACAATGTGAAGCAACTTGCCAAGGCATGTCAACTCCAGTCTGACCCTTTTCCCTGACTTTTTCACAATGTTAAACCTCTATAACTGTTTGTAATGAAAGTGTCAATGACACTGTAGCTCACCTTGTGTGTGATAGAAGAGGGAGGGGTTTATATAAAGCAAGAATATATATGGGAGAACTCCCATTATATAGCATATCTCCCATTATATACTTTTGATAATAATTTTGATAATAAAATATTCCAGTCAAATTACTGTAACGAAGAATCTAAAACACATATTACGTATATAGGTATGACTGTAGAGTTGTTAACCAGTTAGACAAAATAAACGTAATAGCAGTGTTCGGAATTCGTGGGAAAACCTTGCCGGACAACAGGGCGGCAACTTTCAATTTAGCCGGCCCTGCCAGAAATTGGCCGCCTGCATTTTTTGCATAATGGTTGAATAACATGTTTAAGGTGAAATAAGTATATTACTAGTGCTAATGCGCTATACAGTTGCTAATGTATCATATGTATTGTATTTATCTTGTATGATTCACGCTAGGGCTAGACTAACATACGGCGCGATTTTCGCAGCGACCAAGCACGTAATATTGAAGAATAATGTCTTACGGACTTACCTATCACCAATACGCATTTTTAGTCTATAACTTCACTCTTTTACTTTTAATCCAATGTTTTGAACACCCTAGCGAAACTTACGCAAACGGGAAGGAATTTGCGTAAGTTTCGCTAGGGTGTTCAAAACATTGGATTAAAAGTGTTCGGAAAGGGGAAAATTTTGAAAATAGATTCTCTGAGATGCATTCTGAGGCTATCTGAGCTCTGAGCAGGAATGTACTGATTTGAAAAGTGTGTTACAAGCACGATTTAGAAAGCATTTTACCATGTAAATTCAATAAATACAAGTAAAATATATGCAAACCAAAATTCTTTTTTCAAAATTTTGAGTGGGAACACTAGGGTCAGCAGTCATAATTTACATATGTTCACTAAGGAGGATTGTGAGGATTATCCGAGCAGGGAATAATTTTCCGCGGTATTGCATCCGCAATTCGCGATGCATTTTTTACCTACTTGTGACGCGG